AGAAAAAACCGGCAGGGACAAGCGGTCGGTCGATCGATCGATCGATCGATCGATCGATCGGTGTCGGCGAGCGGCTGCGAATCGCGTGGCGCACGCGAAATCACGCCTCGCCTGGTCTCGCCGAGAGTCTAGGAAACGTTTCGCGAAGATCCTGTTACCCGGCCGACCGATCCGCGTCCACGCCGCGACCGGGAAAGTGAACCGTCCCGATTAATAGGCCGAACACGCACATGGAAGAAAGTAGAGGCACCGCGTGGATCGCGATCCACGATCCGCGAGCCGCGATCCGCGATCGATCGAGGAGCGCGGCACCGTCGCGTCGAACGGTGCCGGAGGATGCCGCGAGATGAGTATGCTAAGTGCCATTGATAAGCGGCCCGGAGTGGCCGGCCTAGGAATGCCAATCGACTAGGAGGCTTTCGAAACTGCCGGCATCTCGAAACGAGATTGACGAACTTGTCCCGTTGCGCTCGTGTTCCGCGAACCTTAAATTGCTCGCGTTCCGACCCGAAACGAATCGGCTCGGAGGCGCGGAAAGAAGCTCTTTAGGGACGCGCAGCTTCTTCGTTCGAGGCCTGTGTGCGCAGCTGCCTTTGACCGAACAACTTCTTCGCCAACCGCTTTAACTCGTAACAAAGTCGAATACGGTAAACTCTTTCCTAATTGACGCTCGGATCGTACACAAAAATGGACAATTTGGGAAGATACGATTATTGTCAGCAATTATAAACAGGAATGAGTCTGAAAATGATACGTCGACGTTATTCAATTCTTTTCATCTTTCTGCTGCTTTGAATCGCGATTTATAATTTACACTACTTTAAATCTACTATTTTTAATTGTTTGCCACGAATGCGTGAAATCCGCAGTCCAACGACAACGTTTAAGCACGAATTAGAGACAGTTAGCAGTTCCGTGTACGATCTGAGCGTCGATTACGGAGAATTTACCGTACGTCGAAACTTTATCTTTCGCGTTTGAAAAAAGAAACGCACGGAAATTGCAAAATCGTCTAGATAACGTTTCGGACATCGTTGCCCGTAAGAAGAAACGCGGCGAAGAAAGTGGACAGCGTCTAGGCGATAAATATCCTCTCATATAGATCGCGATTTCACTGAAAAAGGATTCCTCGTCGCGGGCGTTTATTTCGTGCGCGCGAAAGTCGAGCAGAATTTCGTTAAGAATTTTTTCGTTAAGATCGGAACGCGCCGCGATATTGCATAGCGTACGTATACATATTTAGGACAGTCACGATCGCAGGAGCGCAACAAAGTCGGCTGGCGGAGGCGGAGGAGGATGCGCGCGAGGTTGTGTTGTGTATCGAGGGATTGCCAGAGGGGTCCACGTGAACTCAGCGATTCGGGACCACCGACGATATTATGATTCTTCTCTCGTGGTCGCCCGGAACAAGGACCTGCAATTAGATGACAATCAACCTGCACGGGGGAAAAAGTGGGTCAACGTGCGGGGGAAAAAGGGGTCAGGCGCGGGACAGGCTACAGACTCGCTCCGCGTTTCGTCCGTTT